AGTGCCCTCAGGTGACTGCATTCAGCTAGGGGCTCAGCGGGGACATCACGATGGCCTCTCATCCCCAGGCCTCTCTCCACGTGGTCTTCCAGTTTCACAGCTTCTCTACCACATGGCAGCTGGCTTTTCAGAGGGAGAAAGCAGAAGCTCCCAGTCCTCTTAAAGGCTTGGTCTGTAATTCGACAGTGTCACATCTGTAACATTCTTGTGGTCTAAGCAAGTCACAAGGCCAACCCACGTTCCAGGGCAGGAGAAAAGAATTTAATGAGAGTAAGGGCAAAAAAACTGTGGCCATCGTTAATCCACCGTAGCCCACCCTCTGGTCATACATTAGTGACAGTCCTCCCGCATTCACTTTCGCTGTCCCAGAGACTCCCCAAGGCGTATCCGGTACAGCATTGCCGGGGTCCAACCCCAGCGGGTCCAGGGGTCCCCAAAGGTGTGGACGGAGTCGGCGAAGAAGGAATGACACGGAGACAGCGTTCAGTTGATCAGCAGCCTAGGCAGGATCTCTAGCCAAATTCAGTCCTCTTAAAGGCTTGGTCTGCAATTCGACAGTGTCACATCTGTAACATTCTTGTGGTCTAAGCAAGTCACAAGGCCAACCCACGTACCAGGGCAGGAGAAAAGAATTTAATGAGAGTAAGGGCAAAAAAATTGTGGCCATAGTTAATCCACGGTAGCCCACCCTCTGGTCATACATTAGTGACAGTCCTCCCACATTCACTTACGCTGTCCCAGGGACTCCCCAAGGCGTATCCGGTACAGCATCAAGCTCGAAACCCAGCATCAGGTCTAAACAACTGTGACTCTCAAGGCAGTTTCTTTAGGTGCAGGTGTGGCACCGCTCAATCTGGAGACTTGCCCATTAAAAAAAGAGGTTATCATGCCCCATACACTCACATTCAAAGGTGAGCGAGACATAGGAAAACTTCAGCGGACACTCTATTCAAAAAAGTGGGGGCAGTGGAAGGTAAATAGCAGTCACTGTTAATAGTGACTGAGTTGAAATAAAAGTCACTCTGAAATCTGGCCAGGACCCCTCCACCAGGGGCAGGACTGGTACTTGATTAGGGACCAGTTCTGTTTCCTGGGAATGCTGCTCATTTTTCCTTTCCCATAAGAAATTGGGCTCTGCTTGCAGCCGAGTAAATGTCTCTGCTGCTTTCCACCTGTAGAAATTTGGGGGACCAGACACACCATTTCTCTTTTAGTCTTATTCAAGGGCTGGCAAATTGCAGCCTGAGGGTCAAATCTGGTTTGTGTCTCTTCCACTATGGCCTGTGAGCTAACAATGGTTTGTATGTTTTTCATTTTTAAAGGATTATTAACAACAAACAAAAACACACACAAAATAAACAGAAGAATCTGTGGCAGGGACCAGACTAGCTTGTGAACTTACAATATTTACTGTCTGGCCTTTAATGGAAAAAGTCGCTGCCCCCTGACCCGGTAAACACAACTCAGTCGGAGTGCAGGCCAGAACATGCCTCTCTCAGTCAGTGGATCCGAAAGAGAACCAACTGGGAGGATCCATGTGGAACTCTTTTACCTACATTTATCAGTCAAATAAGCTCCCCTTCTGTGGGGAAGGGGCTGTTCCTGTTTCTCCTTGGAAGTGGGGGGTATAAATATATCCCCCTGAAATCCCTCATAGGAATGGGGAATAGTGATTGCTATTAATACAGTTAGTATAACTCCATTTTGGCAAAATATGCTTCTTTGCATATAGAGACATGTTCATATGAATTTAGAAAACAGTTGGAAAGAGTATACAGCAAATTGTTACGTCCATTAGCTCTGAGTTGGAATAGGATAGACCCACGGAATTCCAGTTTTCTAAATAATTGTTAAAAAGTGTTGCAATTATGAGTGCTTTTACCTTTCTAGTTTAAAAGCAAACTAATAATATATTCCTCCTGTTTTTTGTTTTGTTTTTTGCTACTAATTAAATAATTTATTTTTTACTTTTAACCAGCTCCTTGGAACTTATTTTCCTGTAAAGAGCAGCTTGCTCCTCTTTGCCTCCCGTCTCCTTCTGATTGGTCCAATGTGATTTAGTAAAGAATGAGGTTTTATTTCATTTATTTGAAATGCCAATTTCATCAGTTTCTGGATCTCCGCCTATGCTCCTGTCTAAATGCAGTGATTGTTGAGTAGAGAGAATAGGTAGTGCTGGAGATACACGCATCTCTAAATGGCTGCTTGTCTAATGCACTTTCCTCCTTGCCTGCTCTAGGAGGTATGGTCTTGTTGGATTGAACTTCTTCACTATTTGGACCTTGAGACCAGCTGGCTGGACACTCTGGAAGAACGGATGAGGAGCACAGAGGCTCTGCCGGAGAAGGCAGACGCTATCAACGAGGCCCTGGAGGTGGGCATCTGCATCCTCTGTGGTATTTCTTGTTGTAGGGAAGTCAAATGAGTATTAAAATGAGGGACATTCTGCCTTACACCAGCAACACATTTTCTCCCTCAGCAGTTTTCACTGTTGCCTTCTATTGCTTGAAGTGTTTGTACCATCCTTTATATTTAGATTAATGGTGACTCACTAACTCAGTCCCCAAGTGGGTACTTGTTTGTTAATTAGTGTATTGTAGACATCAGGAAAGCACTGGAGTGATTTTCCTGCTTCTTTTTACCAGTCCCTGGACAGAACTCTGCCTTATGTTATTAGGACAATTGCTCTCTTGTTTCTTCATAAAGTTATTTTTGCTCCTAAGATATGGCAATGACTCTGTTTGCAATGACTCCTACCGTGTTATCTTCAGATGTAACAAGTTGGAGGACAGGGTGGAGAGGGATGAGCGAGAAGTGTGGGATCCTGTTCAAGGAGCTTGACTTGAATTCCTTGAGGCCAAGAAATGCACCTGATTTTTCTTTTGCGACGACTTAATAACTGTTTCTTAAATGAAATAAAAAATGAAGACAATAGAGTTGCTTTTAAAAAAGGAGGAAGAGGATAGATATGCTTTTGAAGTTGTAGGGACACGTGATAATTGACTGGATTGAAGGTCAGAAGTAAGTCCAAGGTGGTACCTGAACCCCAGGAGCTGGATGCTCTGCGGGAGAAAAGATGGCACTTCTCAGTTCAAGGAGCAGAGTGAGAGGTGAAGAGCATGAAAACAATGAAAAGCTTGATTTAAAAATGAGTATTTTCCTGACATGAGAATTAAAACATGTGCATTCTAGAAATATGGAAGATGGAGAAAAAGTATAAAACAAACTCTAAGATAAATACTTTTAAACATTTTGGCAAATTTCTTCCTACTTATTATTATTATTTTTTTTGTTAATCCTCACCTGAGGATATTTTTTTCATTGCTTTCAGAGAGAATGGAAGGAAGGAAGAGGGGGAGAGAAAGAGAGAAAGAGAAAGAAACATCAATGTGAGAGAGACTCATCGACTGGTTGCCTGTTGCACAAGCCCCAGGGGGAGGGGGGCGGGGAGTGAACCCGCAACCCAGGTAGGTGCCCTGACCAGGAATTGAACCGCAACCCTTCGGTGCCCAAACTGACCTCTAACCACTGAGAGGCACTGGCCAGGGTTCTAATTATTGTTAATTATTGTTATTACTTTTTAACACACACGCTGGAAGGTAGTACATTATAGTAACTGGATCAAAGACTTTGAAATCATAAGGAGTCAGGTTGGAATCTTAGCTCGTCTTTTTACCGTATGAATGTAGGCAAAGTACTTAAGCTTTCTGAACTTCAGTTTTCCCATCTGTAATATGATACAAAATAGTACCTAGCTTTCTATATATGTTACAGAAAACTGAGTCCCTATTTTTTGTAACAATCAACAGTTTGAGATAATTTTGCTTTATAGTATTGTTTTCTGATTTCAAACTTTGTATCACACCATGAACATTTCCTCATGTAATTAATAATTACTAAAATTATTTTATGACATTGTATTGTCATATGTCATCTTTCATGCTTTGTCAATTTTATGTATTGTTTAATACCATGATGGATATTTTTGAAAATTAATTATTGCTAGTCTTTTTCTTGGATAGAAAATGAAATTAGTTGTTTAAAAAACAGACTTTTGGATCCTTGGTACATTTTACCTCAGTAAGTGCATTATTTCTCCCCTCCCGTCCCTGTCCAGTCTCTAGAGTCTGTTTTGCGACATCCAGCGGATAATCGCACCCAGATTCGGGAACTGGGCCAGACTCTGATCGATGGAGGGATCCTCGATGACATAATCAGTGAGAAACTGGAGACTTTCAACAGTCGATATGAAGAATTGAGTCAATTGGTAAGAACTGGACGTGCATGAGTGCAGACTAGGTGTTTGTGAGACGGACCTGACTTCAAGAACTTGTACCAAGGGAAAAAGTTGGTAGCCAACATTACGGGGGTGTTGTGGTTTTGAAATACTAGCTGAGGAAGGGTAAACCTAGCTGTATAGGCAGGCAAAACTTGATGATTAAAAAAAAAATCTATCTTTGAGATGGTTTCTGTTTATGAACTATTTCATTTCCTTTGAGTTATATTGTAGCTGTATATAAGAATAACTCATATTGTCCTAGTAAATACTAGGCCCGCAGAATTTGACATAAGCTGTTGTGATAAAATGCCAAGCTGTCTTAGATGCATATCCAGAATGAATTGCAACGTGCATGCTCATATCAGTAAGTAGAGAAAGGAGACTGTTCTTCCCTAGGAGGGTTAGATGGATATTAGTGCTTTCAAATCCATATTAAATAATAACTGTTGATTCTGAGATCCGGAAAAGAATCAAGCTTGATTCAAAAGTGTAGCAAGTAGTGGTTTACACACATGTGCATGGAATTTGTTTCAGACTTTGGAAAAAGCTTTATATGTTCACTCTACTGATAGATGTTTGTTATATTTTATATCCTTGTTGATAGGCTTATTGCTGGTTCCTGAAAAACCTTAAATTCATAATAAGTGGCAAATTCTTTGTTTAATATATTATGTAAGAAAGCTTTACATTTTTATATATTGTCATTGTATGTAGAAAGAAGTAAAAATGAGTAACTCACTGCAAGATATAAAAGATACCAGAAGGACCTTTTCATTGTTATCATTGCTAGTTATTTATTCATACTACTCACCAAAGTCTTGAACTAGAGCCTGTATTTCTTTTCTTGGTGATCAGATCCTAGGGTTTTCTTATATTCAGCTATTTATGTTTGTGCTGAGAGACTAATGATTCAGTTTTATCCCCTGTGTAGGCAGAGAGCAAGCAGATTTCTTTGGAAAAACAACTCCACGTCCTGCGGGAAACTGATCACATGCTTCAAGTTTTGCAGGAGGGCTTACGAGAGCTGGACAAGCAGCTCACAACCTACCTGACAGACAGGGTAGACGCCCTCCAAGTTCCGCAAGAAGCTCAGGTACTGCCATGGATCTGAGGTGTTTGAGTTGTCAGAAGAGCAAGTGTAATTGCCTCCTCACCTGCAAGAGAACCAGCCTCTCCTGACATCCCAAACCAGCAGTCAGTGAGAAAGGGTGACCTTGCTTTTGGGGCAGCATGTGGGTTTTGGGGTTCTCTTGGCCTTTCTGTGAAACCCTGGGAAACGATAGCTTTCTTAGCTATGAAATTGGGAAAATTCATTTTTAATAAATAAGCAGTGAACATTAGAAATGACAAATGCAAAGACCATAGTTTGTGTACACCATACAGTAGTCTGCGTTTTTATTATTATACAGCAAACTTACTGAAACTTGAACAGGGCTCTGCATATTCTTATGTAATATATGATTATATGGAACTTAAAAAAATACAATCTTCCCCCCTTCTAATCTTTTTGTAGAAAATGCAAGCCGAGATCTCTGCCCATGAGCTAACGCTGGAGGAGTTGAGAAGAAATGTGCGCTCTCAGCCTCCAACGTCCCCGGAAGGCAGGACTGCTAGAGGAGGAAGTCAGATGGATGTCCTGCAGGTGAGAGGGGGAGTGATGTGTTGGCAGTGATTACTTGGATGCCTTTGGTCTTCTTTTTGATGTGAACAGTGAGTCGAGTGACACATTGCTGGTGCATTGCATCCCAGGCAGAGCTGCAGGAACAAATTATTGCATGCGTGGAAGATATCGAATGTGATTCTATAGTTGAGTTGAGAAGAGATAGCAAGCTAGGTTTAGAAGTTAGCCTGAAAAGTCTTCCCCCTAATGCAGAGTCACCGTGAGTTCTGTGCGGCTAATACACCGGGCGCCACTCAGTTCTTGGTGGTGTGTGTGAGATTGACTTTCCCTCTGAGCTCATGACAAATACTCTTGAGTTCTAGGTTCCTGACTGTAGTTTTCAAATAGGTGAGAAACTTAGTGAAGTTTTAATTTCAGCGAGGCCAGCTTAGCCTTTTATTATATCTAAGACTGACACACTGAATATCAAGTGATGTATGATCCTGGGTAACCTCGCTGAGTTCCTTCACGGAATGCTTTTATTGGTCCTTTATTTTTACAGCTTTTTAGCAGCATGGTTATACTAATACCATCTGTTGAGAGAGATTATCATTCTGATGTGAATTTCTTATTATTTTCATTTCTTCAAACAGAGGAAATTTCGAGAGGTATCCACCAAGTTCCAGCTTTTCCAGAAGCCTGCGAACTTCGAACAGCGCATGCTTGACTGCAAGCGTGTGCTGGATGGTGTGAAAGCCGAACTGCATGTGCTGGATGTGAAGGACGTGGACCCTGATGTCATCCAGACCCACCTGGACAAGTGTATGGTGAGGGCGCTGGTGGTTAATGGGCCCACTGGGTTTTCCAGTAGCAAATATGGCTTCACCTAGCATAACGTACATGGTTTGCTCAATATGTATTTGTCTCCAGTGTGCTAACAATAGGGGTGAATAATGAAAAACAGTTTATAAAGTAAGAAGTGTGGTATTTTCCTCCAAAGACATTAGGAGAGATAGGGGAGATAGATAGGAGGGAGTAAAATCAATTATTACAGTGTCATGAAATTAAAAAAAAGGGAAAAGGCATAAATATACATACATATGTGTGTGTGTGTGTATATATATGTGTGTGTATATATATGTATATATATATATGATTAAAAAACAAAGGAAACCCTCATAATCACAGTATGATGTTAGAAAAGGTTTGGGCAGAATATGACTAATAAACTAAACTTTTAAAGGATAAATTTGAGGTAGCTAGAAGAACCATACTTAGAATGGATGTTAGGAATATTACCATGTAAAAAAAATGATTCTTAAGGATACTTAAATTTTAAATTTTAATTTATAAAGTCTAAAACTAAAATATGGAAGAAGAAATTATACTTAGAACAGATGTCAGGGATATTATTACAGAAAAAATCGTTCTCTAGGAAAATTAATTTTAAATCAAAGTTTAAACCTAAGATCTGAAAAAAAATATTTAGAAGGCCTTATTGCTATTGCAGTCTTGAATTTTAAAATTCAATTGCTTATACATTTTAAAATGTGGCTAAACATACACACTCTTAGAATCAGTGTTCTGCTTGAGAAGAATCATGAAGAAGCTGAAGATGACACTTTTTAGGACAAAACTTTGGGATGAGTTCTTTGTGCTTATCCAAACTGTAATCTCCACATGTCTGTTATATACCAAAGGTTGGTTGATTACTCAAAAGCTGAAATAGGTGGAAGAATGAATAAATAGGATACATTTCTGTGTGTGTGTGTGTGTGTGTGTGCATGTGTGCACACACTTATATATGTAAATATTTACTGAAATAATAGAGGTCAACAAAGCAAGCACGATTCTTGACTGTGTGTGAGTTGGCCCAGTGGTCTGTTATGTGACAGAGCCACCTGAGATGTTTCAGGTCAGGATCACGATGAGTGGAGACAAGAGAACCTGTGCAGAATAGTTTAAGGTAACTAAGATGAAGACAGCTCTGAATTTGACTTGATGACTAAAATTTCTTAAAGTCATATTCATCTTGACGTGTTGAGTTGTCATATATCTTTTCATTACATAAGTAATATGTACCGATGTAGTAGACTTGGTACTTCAGAATTGAAAGGAAAAAAATAAGAATGCTAATACTTCCAAATACCAATAGGCAGAAATATAGTCAGAATTGCCTTTTTTTCTAATAATAGCATTTAGGACTATTAAAGTCATAATTTTAAAAATGATAGACATTCCAATTTTTAGTCCTGATATTTTCACATTTTATGATGGGAAAATGTTCATAAACTTTCATAAACTTTTAAAATACATATCTGAGTGTTTTTTTTAAACAAGTATTAATGCCATTTGTTTGTTTTCTTTTCTGATTTAAAAAAGTTATTGCAAACTTGATGACATTTTACTCAACCTTTGAATCCAAATCGGGAAAAGATAAAGCCCTTTGATCTCCGTAGTAAAATCATAGCTGTCAATTTGGATAAGCCGTGTTCTGAAATGGGTTACTGGGTTTTCACTGTGATGTGTGCGATTTGTCTTTTTTTAAAGAAACTCTATAAAACTCTAAGTGAAATCAAGCTTGAAGTGGAGACAGTAATCAAAACAGGAAGGCACATTGTTCAGAAGCAGCAAACCGACAACCCCAAGGGGCTGGACGAGCAGCTGACTTCTCTGAAGGTGCTCTACAATGACCTGGGTGCCCAGGTGAGGACAGCAATGCACCACCACCTCTCTCGTCTCCCTGTCTCTCAGTGTGTCTCTCTCTCTCTCTCTCGTGCATTTTAAAATTTTACTTTTGGGAGAATGCGTGTTTAAATTTTATGGTATTAATAATGTTTTCAGTGATTCCAAGAATTTTTATTAATTTTTAAATGTTTGTGCTAATATTGCAGTGATTACTAATTGTATTTATTGAAACTTATTTTTAATATTTAATGCAGATTCACTTTATATTTTCAATGACTATTGACATTTCAAAAGTAAACTTTAAAAATAATAGTCCCCGTTTAAACTCAGGTTATTGGTTTATACCAATAATAGCATTTAGGATTTTTAAAATCAGAATTTTAAACATTGAATTTAAATTGATATTTAAATTGAATAGTCTACTGAAAGTGTTCAAACATCAGGGTTCTAATAAATATTATGTGACAAGAAGATCACATTGATCTAGCAGGACTTAAAATCCTTTCAGGAAACAGCTATAATTTGAGCATTTTAGTGAATCGGTGGGGGAGTTTTGGGTCATCTACTGACTGGGTCCAGTAGGCTGAATGTCTTCTCTCACTGAGAATCTCAGTCTTGAATCCAGGGAAGTAAGAAAAAAAAAAGTGTGGAACTGAAAACTTGGCAATATTAAAAGGCTGTGTTAGATTATATTTTAGATCCTTCTTAAGTTATTAAATAGTAACTGAGTTTCTACAAGAGCCCAGAGAAAACCAGCTAAAATGTTAATCACTTTCAAACAAGTGAAAATGGGCAGTCCATATATTTCCTGGGTGTTCACTTCTGCAAGATTGGGTTGTTGATTTTGATACATTTTGATGCACTGTACCACTGGATCACATTCCTCCACGCATCATTTTGGTATTACACAGCTGAAGTTATTTTTGAAGCATTATATTTATTTATTGACTGGGCAATTTATGCGTGGGAATGGTGTTGCTGGTTTTTACACCAGTTCCCTAATTCAGGCTTCTGGTTCAGACCAGGCTTAATCCAATGGCTGTGTCACCTTGGTCATAGTCCTATTACAGAGGTGGTTGTGGGTTTTATTGCATAACGTGTATGATTTCTTAACACCATTTGTGAGATGTACCAAGAGCCTGGTAAATGTTAATTCAGTTCATTTTGCTTTTTTTAAGAAAAAAATTAATAAAGAGTTTTATTGCATAATCATTTACTGTATTTTTCATTAAGTGGGTAATTGTAAAATATGATTGTGAAAATCATGCTATTTCCCCTCAAATTGCTAGAATATAATGTGTTTTAAACAGAGTCCTCCACTGAGATGATTCTAAGCATCTTCTGTTCAAAATAGTAAAAGATACTACTAACTGATCCCTTAACTTTGTTGCAAGGATTGGGCCAAGTCCTTTGTGTATGTATTTTTCTCCTTTAAAACTCATAACAACCTTTTGAGGCTCATACCTCTATCAAGGTCCCTTAGCTCTGCTGAGATGAAAACCCAGGGTTGCCTGACACTTGACCACGACTGTGTAGTGTCTCCTTGCAGAAATGCAAGAGTGAGTAACTCTTGTTTCTAGAGATAAAGGTTGTATATCTCTTGGGGTTCAATCCGAGTCAGTTTGGATCCTCAGCTATTATCCATGTTTAGTCCTCTCTCGCTTCCCTCTTTTCAGGTAACGGAGGGAAAACAGGACCTGGAAAGAGCATCCCAGTTGGCCCGGAAAATGAAGAAAGAGGCTGCTTCTCTCTCGGAGTGGCTTTCGGTGACTGAAACGGAACTGGTACAGAAATCCAACTCGGAAGGTTTGCTTGGAGACTTGGATACAGAGATTTCCTGGGCTAAAGTGAGTCATAGTTCAGGGGGATCACCAATATCACGCCAGCGTGACCTGTGGCATTTTTGTTCAGGGCAATCTGGGTGGATGTTATATTTCTCCATTTCATATTAAATATAGCCTTTCCCTTTTTCCATTACTTTTTCTACTTCTCTGTCCTAAGAAAAACAATAAGAATATTTTTAAAACAACTATTCCAAGAAGCTACTTTTGTCTTGATTCCAAAAATGTTGAACTTTGATCTGTCACCAACAGGCCTTCAGAGGCGTTCTGCTTATGCGGCACTTGAAAATATGGTAGTTACACTTTCAAAGTTGGTGATAAGTTGGTGATTTCTTTTTGAGCATTCATTCCTCACACAGTGTTGTGCTGAATTTATTTGTTAATTCTTCTACAATAACTTTTGTGCCAGTTACTAGTTTTTCTATTGCAAACCGATGTAAAGAGCACAGAGACAGAATTTTCAAAAGAATCAATGAAAGATCCAAGAGTTTCCTTTGGCTCTTTAGTTACGTTGCTATTATAGAGATTAGAGAGGAGATTTTCCAGTTCTCTTTTGAAGTGGACAAAGAAGGAATGGAATACAAAACTGTTTTGTTTTACCAAGGCATTTTATTTTCCCAAATTTATTTTCTAAGAAAGAGGCATGTATACTAGAGATAAGTCCTGAAAATAATGATCAATACTGTGACAAAAATTTCTATAAAGTCACAAGATCCGTTATGGCAGCCTACACTCATGCTGGCCTGTGGGAAGTGAAGAGGATGTGATTAGAGATCATAGGGGGTGATGCAACTCTTTAATTTGAATGCTCTGTGAAGAGAACAGTTGAATGAGTCAAGATATTAGGCACTAGAGAGAGTGTTCTCAGTTTAGAAAATAGCTGATGAAAAGCATAATTATGCCATGGGCTGTGTGAAGTGAAAAAAAATACATGCAGGCAATGAAGAATGTTGGCATTTATAGGTGTATTGTGGGTGAATGGGAAGCAAAGGCACCAAACTTCATTTTTGTTAAGTTTAGCTTTTTCAAGGAAATATTACCTTCTTTGTACAATACATTTGGAAAGCCCTTGCTTTCTTATTAGTAACATAAGTTATATAAGCTAAGTGAATGACATTTTTATAGTGTAAAAAAAAAAAGAGGGGAGCAAAAATCATCTATAATGAAAGAATACCCTGTTATCTTTTCAGCTTTTTACAGGCACATATAGACATGCATGCGTTTGAAAAGAATTCTTTTATATTTAGTGTTTCATGAATTTCTTTAAAAACAAACCAACACCTTATATCTTTAACATTTTTCTTTACCTACATGTTGTATCACATATTGGAGACAGGCCTAATATTTAATTGCATAATTTATTTTTGGTTGTTCCATTTCTCTACTCATGTCCATTTGATTTATTACCAGTTTTCACTATTATGAAAAATGCTATGCCCTGTCTGGTGGGCTCAGTGGTTAGAGCATCGGCCTGTGCACTGAAGGGTCGCAGGTTCAATACCCAGACAAAGGCACATACCTGGATTGCAGGTTCATTTCCCACCACAGTTGGGGCACATGCAGGAGGCAACCAATCAATGTGTCTCTCTCACATGGATGTTTCTCTCTCTCTCTCTGTCTCTCTCTCCCTCCCTCCCTCCCTCCCTTCCCCCCCTGCCACTTTCTCTAAAAGGCAATGGAAAAAAGTATCCTCGGGTGAGGATTAACAAAAAATAAAGACATGCTGTGATGAATATACTTGTAGCTAAATCATAACATGTATTCATATTTTTTTCCCGAGGATAAATTCTTAGACCTAAAATTGTTGAGTCTAGGGATATATCCATTTTAAAGTCTTATACAAGTTATCAAATTGTCCTTCAGAAATTGTACCTACCAGCTCCATGTGAGAATTCCTACTTGCTTGTTTTAACCACAACTTTGACAGTGGTAGGCAGATATCATATTTTGGTTAGTTAATTAGAACATTTTCCATCAGTTTATAGGCCATTTGTAGTTCTTTTTAAAAAAATTTCCTTTATCTTTTTATCTTTAATGCTTTAATCCTTCTGGAATTTATTTTGGTGTATATGATGAGGTAAGGCTCTAACCTTTTTCCAAGTAGTTAACCAGTTATGTCAGCACTATCTACTGAGTAATTATCTCCCTTCCCCTGATTTGACATGCTAACTTCATCTATTACTTTTGGCTGTTGATTTTCTTTGTTTACTGATTTACTGAAATGTTTTTTAGCTGTTTAACTATGTGGCTTTATAATATGTTTGAATATATACTTAATAGATTCCCTGTTTTTAATGTTCCTTTTTTTTGTATACACTCATATAAACTTTAGAAGTGTTAGTCTCAAATTCTTAAAATATATATTTTGTTAGAAATTTTTATTTGAATTGCCTTAAATTTATAGATTTGTTTCGAGAGGATTTGACATCATTGTTATATTGTTACATGGCATGTCTCATTTCCCACCAAATTTTTAAAATCCCTTTATAATGCTTTGGTTATTTTCTTCATAGACACACACACACACATGTTAGTTTATACTTATTTATTTTACATACTTTAAAAAGCATGCCTTTTCTCTTTTTTATTAATTGCTTATAGCTGGTACATATAACATTTTTGCATATTTAATTTTTATTCATTCATCTTTGTACACATATAAATTCAATTAATTTTTCAGATTAAGATTGTAAAAGACAATCTTACAAAAATTTGAAATTTTTATGCTTTCCAAAATGTGATTTAATGATGTGAGATTAAATATAGACTCGTGCTCCTTTAAAGAATTTGTTTTAATGTTGGTTTAAAAAGATGCCAGCAGAAAT